TAGGGGGAGTAATGACGCAATTTCCCCTGAGGGGTGGACCTCCCATCTGTGAGCGAAATAGACAGGATTTGGCCAAAAAGAGAAACGAAAGGGAGAGTGAACAAGTGAGCTATACGGGACAAGAAGGGGATATTGGAACAACAGAGGGGGAGAGGGTGGTAAATTCCAAGAGAATGTTTAGTTTCATTACAATGAATGTTTAGCTACTATCTTGGGTTAGTATAAACTCACCAATGAGTCCAAAAATGAAGTGACTTTCAGTCCAGTCTTATATGTCATCAGTATCAAACTGGATACCAAAATGGTGATCAGTAGTTGTTTGTGCTGATTACTGTGGAATCAAATCACTGATGATGGAGTGGGTGTGGTCGGCCAGTGACGGTTGATGGTGCAACCCCACCCTGTGCAGAGCTCTGGGGTCTCTGTTTGTATCCTGGAGGACAGAAGGGTCAGATGGTGAAGCAGGCCACCAGCTGCTCTCATCACATTCTTTTTCTAGGCTGCATCAAGAATGAGGATTTATGAAGGCAGCGTTTAGCTCCCTATGTATTAATGGGGTTTTTTTGTTTGTTTTTTTTTTTACAGAATCTGTCCCTGATACTGATCACCAGGTTCTTTCATCTCATCAGTAACCGTACACTTTCTGTAACTGCTTGTCTTTCCTATCATTCAGTGTCCCAGCAGTGATGCCAGCGACATGAAGGAGAATCAGGGATAATATAGGTTCTCCTCCCCGTCCTTCATCGTCATTTAGTCCTTCTGTCCATCAGCTTTTCTTTGTTGGGTTAGAACAGGAAGAGAATTTCATAGTTAGCATTCATTTGAAGATGTCTAAAACGGAGTAAAAATTCTAGCTCTGTAGCTGCTAAATACTTGTTTAGTAGCTTTTTATTAACCTTGTCTGCCGTTTGGTGCTGAGCATGTAATGCATTGTGGGTTTATCATAGCTTTTTGGATGAAAATTGTAGGTTCATAAGTTTGATCCATTGTTGGTACCAAAAATAGTGAATATAGACACTTAAAGGCAGTTTTCAGGAGTTTATTTGAGCAGTTGGATGTCTTTTCAGTGCTGCTGATGGGAAGCCTTGGTGTAAGTTAGCATCAGTATGTCCTGCTCCTGAATGCTGGGTCACTAAAATGAAAAGCAGGTCTCCATGGCTAGTAAGAAAGAATAGTAGTTGAGGGGGGAATTGAGACATTATGAATGTAAGACAGTGTGCGCTGGCTCATACAGCAGATCTGGCCGCAGTGATGCACTCACTTGGCACTGTACCTCTCTAAGATCAGTCATTCTGTCAGTTCTAATGAAACCTGCCATTGTGGGGTTCACTTTCACACAAACACAGTACATGGATTTAACTCTCTCTGCACTTATTGTTTAAATTGTTCTTTTTGTATTTCTCATCATAGGATTTATTGTGTGTTTCCAGTAGCTGGTTTCAAAAATGTGACATTTTGCGGTATGTGAGATCACAGTCATACACAAGTCATAAGAATGACGAGGAGTGGATGAGGTAAACAGAGCAAAGCTGTCTTCAGCTTCAACTCCCTTTTCCCCCCCTTGATTATCTTCTGACCCAGTTTTTCTCCTTTCTTTTCCATTGTTCTCACATGCTTTCTCCTCATTTTGTCCCTGGATACATAAGCATTTCGGATGCGCCCTTGCTCCTGGACATCTTGGAGAATTTGGTCTTTTGGAGGCTCATTGTGAGCGTGTGTGGGTGTGTTTCCTGACTTTGTGTGTCTTCGCCTGTTGTTTCAGCTGTGAAGTTATGTTACTGAAACCAGTAAACAAACTGTTTTAATTGGATTCCTGGAACAGCATTAAGCCCCAGACCCGCATGTTGACATGTGTGGAGCCATGTGTTAGAGGTGCATTGTGATGTGCAGATACTAACGTGTACTATCTACAATATGCGTTGAAGCGGGTGTGTGTTGCAGTATTGTATAGTTGTGAACCCATACACATCTTGAGATACAACTATGCACTAACTGACAGCGAAATGTGCTGTCTAAATAGCTTTTAAGTGAAACCAGAAGGAACATAAACTTAAACATACAACACTACCAGTGATAAGGCAGGTGTCCAATTTCAGGCTGCAGGTCCCTGATTTGAGGCTGCAGGTCCTTTTTTAACTCTGTCACTTCTCTCTCCTGTTTGGCACAGAGG